TTTGAGGCTCTTCATTACTTTTAAAAGGGAAGAACCAAAAATAGTCCAACATGAAGCAATGGTTAAATGAACCATGAGGCACCTCTACCAGGGACACTACGCAGCAATCAACAAGGTTGAAGGTTCTAGGATGTCCAACCCGTAGCTGAAGGCCACATGCGGCCCAGGGCGGCTATGAATGTGGCCCAACACAAAACCATAGATTTACTTAAAACCTTATGAGATTGTTTTGTTTTTATTAGTGTTTGTGTGTTTAATGTGTGACCCAAGACAACTCTTCTTCTTCCAGTGTGGCCCAGAGACGCCAAAAGGCCGGACACCCCTGCATGCTCTCCCCAACATGAATGAAAGAAACCACTTACAATGGGGTCTCATTTGTATAACGCCTTAAGGGAAGAAAACATTAAAAATGTATTTCTAGAAGGATGTACAAGTAACTGATCTCAGGGACTGCCCGTGGGGAGGGTAAGTCACTTTTCCCTTGAGTCCTTATTATAATGTTTGGTTCATTTATCCTGTTTGAGCATTACTATTTTAGCTGTTTAAAGAAAGTAATGTTAATTTTTAAAGTCTCTAAAAAGCTTTCCGGAGACATGTTTTAAGTAAAGAAAATAAACTAGAGAACAATATTTGCATTGTACCTTTTAGGTAAAAGGATATTCATATAAACAAATCTATATTTTTCTTTCAACTTCTGTACGTAAATACTTGGAACCGTGACTGAAGGATGCCTATCAATGTGTGCATCTGAGAAGAGGTGGACTGCAAAAAGATCATTTTAATGTATGAGAAAGTAGTCATCCACAACTTAAAACATTTTTAAAATGTTACCTTTGAAAAATAAACTTGTGTCAGAAGAAGAAAGTGCACATTTATTTTGATCAAAATAAGTGACATTAAAAAGATTGGTATATTTCATTGTTCCATTTTCTGATTTATACACACTTAGGTTTATTCAAAAATCACACTATTGTACCATAAGAATGTTTATTTCACTAGTGATTTTTAATTTTGTAGCCACAATTTCCCAATATTTTTACATCATCACATCTTTTTATCTACGCCTTTTAAGCATTAAGTACAGAATTTGTTAGAAGTTAAAAAAGAAGGATACATTCTTTCTGTTGAATAATATATTTAACTTAAAGATTATTAACCTTTTGGATATCAAAAACTGAAGCTACTAGGGTCATATTTATTTGTAGGTCCCAAAATAGCCCTGAGGTCTAAATAGGAAAATACATCTTAGACACTAACAAAAACCCTCACTTCGAAATAAAACACTATGATATTTACAGAATTGTATCCAGACTCAACATTTTTACAATATCCAGAAACCTGCCAGATTTTCAAAAATGACAATGAAAATAGCTTTAAGTTCAGAAAACAGCTTATACCAAGATCAGACAAACATCACTCAAAACCCGGCACCCTACGCAGAAGTCTGCTCACACACATCTCAGACACCCAATAAATGCCAGACAGGATGCTTTGAATGAAGAGAATTGTAATGAGATCAGCCATTTCTATTTATTTGAATGGGGTATATTATTCAAATTTCTTAGGCTGTGCCAGACTCACGGGGTTGCCGGCAGCATTTATGGATGTGCAGCTTCCTTTTATAGCTTTCATCAAATGTGACATCATCGTGCAGTTCCAAACCAGCTTCTAGAACTTCTGCTCCCAAACTGGTGTTAAAGTGCTTCCATGCGACTCCCCAGAACCTCACCAACGTCAGGCCAACGCCTGCCAGGCTCTACCTGGGATGGTGGCCTCAGTTTGGTTTCTCCTCTACATTGTCTTTAAAAGCAATGCAAAGGTGTCACACCATGATGAAACAACTTCTCCCAAAACTCAACTTATGTTCTCTTTGATGAGAGTATCTAACACTTAGGCAGACTTGGGAAAACCTTAGCGCTTCTTAAGGGTAAAGTGTGGATTTTCTGGCTAGCTTGGTGCCAAACTCCAGGGCAGTCGGCCCCCACCCCACAGCCACAGGCTGAACGCCTAGCCGAGCTCTCCAAGCCGAGTCCTCTCCAGCCAAGGATGTTGTCAGGCAGAGAGGCCCAGGCCTGGCTGTAGGACCTTGCCAAGGAGCTCCGACACTAGTCACCCGGGCAAACACCCTCTCTCAAGAAAAAGACTGTGCTTTGCCATCCTGGCTGTTACACGTCACATTGGCCGGGCCTTGGGCCTGCAGCCCTCCTGAGTACACAGCATCCTAGCAGGTCGCACCTGATGTTCCCTGGGGGCCACAGTGAAGCCACAGCAGCAGTCACCTTCGTGAGCAGGAAGCCAGGTCTCCTTACAGGTCGTGTGTGGGCACGCGCGTGCGCACTCACCCCTTATCGCACACTGTCCACTTCAGCACAGCTCGCTGCCACTGGCTGTCATTGCGCTGCAGGGCCACGCCTGTCACACAGGTCTTATTTCAGACTGGGAGAGAGCGAGGGAATTGTGCACGCAGCACTGGCGTGCACCTGAGCCACTCAAAGATTAGTTAATCCAGGTAGTGGTTGGGTTTCCTTTGTCTTTCGAAAATCCTCCAGAGGTCTGTCTTTAGCCACTTATTTCAAATGTTAATGAAGAGACGTGAATTCAAGGGCACAGGAGTGAGCAGCTGACTCAGAGTTACACAGGTGCCCAAAACAAGTTCCAGGTGCATCAGGGTGTGCAACTGAGAAGAGAGCAGCCTGCAGTTCAGGAAGAACCGTTCTTGCTGTTAGTGCTTGTGGCTGACAACAACTCAGCTGTGATGATTTTCTCCCTATTCCAGTTGTCGTCATAAGTGTTACTTTGCTGTTTAATAAAGAGTGATTGTCCTCCACTTTCCTCCTTCCTTCCCCAGGAGACCCTGGCCCTCCCGGCAGCTGCCCGGACGAGACGGGGCTCGGGCGAGCCTGCTGCCGGGAAACCGAGGCCCAGGCCCGCGGGCACAGGGCCCTGAGGGTTTCTGTGCACCAAGCGCCCCCAGCCAGGTGCGGGATCCACTCAGTTCCCTGCCACGGAACGGAAAGGGACCTGGGCACATTAGACTTTCCCAATACTGTAAACAAGAAAAAGTGCTAGCATTTTATCATATAAAGGACTGGTTGTGACTCGGCGCTTCCAATAGTCTGTGATAAATCTCAATACTGCCGGGAACAACCATATTGTATTAGAATGAAAAAATGAGTACGCGTGAATCTCCAGGTGAACCCAGAGGAAAAAATAACACCTGACTAACAGCAGGGCTGTAACTCATTTCACAGAGCAAACTTAGCAAAATTATGAAAAGATGGTCTTCTCTCTTCATGTAGTGTGGACAAGGAGGAAAATACAGTGCTCTTGCCGGAGGCTGCAAGAGACAAATCATAGCTCCCTCTTAGTCTTGGCTCATTTATTCACCTCTCAGGGAGGCTTTTCTTCATAACTGGGGGCCCATGCTTCTTCCCTGGGGACAGCAGGCTTCACATCCACTGTAGGACCAGGGTCTGGCCCTGCCAGCTGGGATTCAGTTTCACAGACAACAGCCTTGCCTCCACTCACACTGGACTTCTAGGGACCTGGGCAGCACTGACAGCAGAACGAAGTGGGCAGAGGCAGCCTGGCAGGGCCCCTCAGCACCCACAAGTCCCATTTTCCAGCTGACACCATGAAATCCAGCTTTTTCAGCAAAACGAGCCTCAAGTCTTAGGAGGGCCTACTGTCGAGGTGAGGAAGGTATTGCAGTTTCCCATCTTCATGTTCCTGAGGTCTCAGGCTGCCGATTGGGAGGAACATCAGAAGAGCAAAGGTTCCTAATATCATGTGCTGCATTTCCCCAGTGTAGCCAAAGCCAGGAAGGCATAGCCTCCGAGCACCGAGGTCATTTCAGACGGCCTCTCCCAGTCTTTCCCTCCTCTCTCCCAGCACCAAGCTCAGCGCTGTCTGGCCGTGGCACACTTGATTCACAGGAGCACACAGAAAACGGAGTCATTTCATACCACACACCCCAGTGTCAGATGGGGAGGTACAAGCAATGCATAGCCCATCTGTGTTATCACAAACACCACTACTCCCATAGGTGGTGAATTTCTTTTCTTTTCTTTTTTCTTTTGATAAATACAAGGGTTCCCATTCCCAAGAGGCAACTGAGAGGCACTGAAAAGACTCCACATCCACCCCAGAGCCATTTCAGCTGCCAGGCTCGCTGGGGTCCAATAACCAGGAAAGCTCAACTGAGGGGCAATTCCCAGACATCTCCCTCAGAAGCAGCAGCATTGACATCATCTTAGAAACATTTCTTCTGTCTAGTTTAACTGTAATTCACACAAATACTAAAAAGTATCAAAATATACTTCAACTTTCCCTCTAACTATATTTATACATAAATCCCTGAGAAGGTACCTGTTAACTTGAAATTTACTATTTATAATTAATTAACATTAGGGGTGCATGCAGACACCAGACCCTCCCCTCTCTGTACATGGGGGTGGGGTGTGGTCATCTGTGAGGAGAGAAACCTAAGGCTCTCTCCCTAAAAGCAGGGGGTGGGGGGATTCTAAAGCACCTGCACAGATGCTGGAGAAATCTGCTCTTCATTCACTGTTGGGTATTTGGAGGTCATGACATGATCATTCGCCAGGGACGCCACATGGCCTCTCATTATGGCCTCTCATTATGACCTTTTTAGACCTCAGAGTACTAGGGCCAGGGATGAGCACAGCATTTAGCCAAATCAGAAGAAAATGGGCAGAGGAAGAAAAAGCAAGTGAGGAAAAAAAGAGGACACAAAGTGGGTGGCAGAGAACCAATGTGACAAAGCCAGGAAACATGAAATCAGAAGGGGCCCATCAGTGCCCTTGCCCCTGACACTAGAGGACAGGGGCAGGGAACGACCCTGGTGAGACAATGCAGCCAGCCACTCAAAGCAATAAAAATACATAAACACAAGAAAGTGGTCCTAAAGAAGTGCCAGATAGGACCATCCAGGAGACTACAGATGCTTCCACCTTGGGGACCAGTCCACATCACATCCAAGGGAGCTTGGCCAATCCGAGCTCTTGGGCATAAGGGGCACCTGCAACCAACTACTACCAGTGATGCTCACAGTGGGTACAGACCTCTGTGCCATTCTTATTTTCCCTTTCTGAGATAAGGAAGGAACTCACTACAGTCTGGCTTTCAAAGCTGAATTATCACAACTATTCCCCATCAGTTCAGGTGCACTAGGCAATATGGAGGGCTTTGCGAGGTAAGTGTGAGACCCCTGATCACTCAATGCCTGATGGTGCTGAGCGGGAAGAAACAGGGGAGGCCAATCCTGCTCCCACTTGCAGCATGAGGCAGCCAGGCATTGGCCCCCAAGGAGCCGGGGAGCACGCTTTGACCTACGAATCCGGGATTATAATAAAGACCTTCTAATTCAGTCTGTAACATTTTAAATCTAGAGCTTCCAAGCAGGATACTATTTAAATAAAGTGCTGTCAGTAGTGCATATGTGACATACTCTACAACCCACACGGCCAGTAGAATTTTTCAGTGCTTTACAGATTTAAAAACAAAAAACAAAAAACCTATGGACAAGAAAGTCCCACTGAGAGCTTGGGGCCCAGGGCAAGTCACGTCCATGCTCTGCCAAAGTCCCCACATCTTAGAAACCCTACAAAGTCAATATGAGGACGAACCGAACCTCGGAGCAGTTATCAAAGGAAAAATAAAAGTTCACATCAGGAAATCTCCGGAGCGGAGTCTGGGGGAGGGAGCCTGGCAGCCCGCTCGCTCGCAGAGAGTTTGCCTAGCAGGAGGGCGCTTCACAGCCAACTCTAATCCCTGTTCCTCTAGATGACAGCATCACCCTCCACTTCACTGGTTTTCACTCTGGGTTCCTTATTCTTTTTGCCTTTTTTTCCTATTTTAAGAACATTGAATTCAATTTATCAAAGAGCACATGACTGAATTTTGTATTTCTAATAATAATTTGTTAGAGTTGCTCCCATTTTATTAAAAAGTTTTTCCTCTTCTATCTATTTTTGAACATGGTAAAGATTTTATATCCGGCTTACCTAAAATCTCTTGCTTAAAATGAGGTTAGTTGTAGCAATAAATACACATTTCTCTATGCACCATTTCATGCTTTGACAATAGGTTTTTCTTCACTATTATTACTGTATAAATAAGAGCTTAAAAAATATGATACAAAGAAATCTGATTCCTGTCTCACTTGATCATTTTGCGTAAAAATGCCTCCATCAAATAGAAACAAATATTTGGCATCACTTAATCAAATTAAAAAGAACATACAGGGTTACATCCACCCAAGATGAGAAGGAAAGGCAAGATCAAAAAGAGCAAAACGGGGGAGAATTTCACAAATTCCATATGAAATCAGAGAGATATCACAGTTATTGCTAGAAACAGTATTTTAAACAAAGGATCTTCAGAAAAGTGCATTAAAACTGTCTTAAATACAAACAGCCCCACCACCAGTAAAATGTTGAAAATTTGATCATGATTAAAATATTATACAGAAATCACCCTTGGATAAATTGATTTTAAAAATTTTCTTGTTCTAAAGGCAGACATTTAGGCAAATTGCCTACTAGGTGTATTGATTGCTAGGGGAACTGGTTTTAGGCAAAGCAATCTGTGTTGCGCCCAGACCACTCCTGGGTGCAGCCTGAACAAACACGGATAGCTTTCCGGGCCCCGCAGAGGGTACTGTTCCGGAGGGCCCTGAGCAGCGAGGGCGGGCGGGAGGCGCACCCTTCCTGGAGCGGAGCCCCGCAGCGTCCCCGCGGACCCCTCTCGGGGCTCCGGGTGGCGCCTCACTCAGACCCGGCTCTCCTCACGTCCGTTTCCTCCAGGGCGCCACTCGCCTTTCCTTCTGCGCTGCCGCCGCCCGCTGCCTCTCCGCCTCTTCCGCCTTCCTCTTTTCCTCTTTGGCCTCCTTGTACCTCCACTTGGGGAGCTGCAGGTGGGAGCTGTCCTTGGTGCTGCCCTTCGCGTGCGCCCGCTCGGGCTGGAAGGTGGGCGCCGGCGCCTTGGTGATGCGCACCCTGGGGATGACCAAGCCCGGCCGCACGCTGCTCCTCCTTAGCAGCTGTAGGGGCAGGAGGCTGGCCTTCCGTGGGGCACCTGGCTGCTGAGGAGATGGGAGGCTGGCTCTCAGGGCCCCCTCTCTGGAGATGCTCACGGTGTGGGAGGTCCGGATTTGCTCCTTGGTGCCCTCCGCCTTGTCCCTCTCCTGGACATAGGTGTCCAGGGCCCCAGGAGCCTCCAGGATTTCCTGCACCGCTAGCCGCCTTTTCCCCACACAAGGGGGGTTCTCAGGGCACACAGTGTGGCAGGCGATGGCCACAAAAGGACTGTAGAGACTGGTAGTCATCCTGACCATGTGGTCCAGGGCCCCTCCATCCTCCAGGCCCCGGCGCGAGCGGGAAGTCAGCGTGGACCGCATAAACTTGCTGAGCCTCTGCAAGCAGGTTTTGGAGTCCGCAGGCCTCGAAGCCCCCTCAAGGGGCAGCAGTAGCTCTGGCCTGTACCATTCCCCAAACTGCTCGGGGCAGGGTCGCTCCAGCAGCCTCTGGATGAGGCGCGCTGCTTCAAACCGCCCCGTGTAAATGGCCCACTCCTGGGGTGACATCCCACGGCGGGGGTCCCTTGCGTGGACATCTGCTCCTGAAAAACACAAAACACAAACTGTTATGAGTGGAGGCAACAAGAGCTTATCCCTTCCACAGGCAGAAAACAAAAATTCAGTGGAATGAAACAAAGGTCAAACTTCCAAAACCTAATAACAGAATCTGCCCCTAGTCAGGCGGATGAACCCCTCTCTGATCGGCACCTGCTGCGTTTACTGTCACAAGTGCTCCATTGGATGGCTTGTCTTTCCTAAATGATACCACCTGAATTGAGCACCTCAATCTTGGAATTTCTTTTTTTTAAAATGAGATTTCTTGGCTTTTCATCAATGAGGAGATGATAACAAAGGTGCTTTGTGAACAGGCGACTGATGCTGCTAAAATGTTCTAAAAACTCTTACAGTAACAGTCACTTGCATTTATCTATCATCTCGCTTTTCCCTCACAGATCTCTGTGAGGATGGCTATGGTTGTTGTTTTGCAGAAATGTGAGGCCACTCACTTTTCCAGTACAGAGGCCACGTCTCACTTGCTTCTATTGCCTCAACACCTATCATCCTGGCTGGTAAGCATCTAACAAAGGTTTGTTACAGAATGGATGGCAGTCACAGTGGTCGGGGGCCCTGCCTGAGGCCTGGAAGCTGGTGAAAGAAAAGGTCTCCTGACCCTCAGCTCCATGCTCTTTCCACGCCCCACGGGGCAGTCCCTTCCTCAGGGGTAGTTTTCTGTGTCTACCTGGCCAGGCTCTAGTTCAGGGATTTAATCAAACACAAATCCGGGTGAGCTGCAAAGGTATTTTGTAGATGTGGTTAACATCCATAAGCAGTCTGGCTTGAAGTCAGGGAGACTCCCTGAAACAATGTGGGTGGGCCGTGCCCAATCAGTTGAAGGTCTTAGAAATGAAAGCTGGATTTTCTGGAGGACTTCAGCTTCAAGACTCCAGCATCACCTCCTACCCCAGTGTCTAGTCCACTGCCCTGCCTACAGGTATCGAGCTTGTCAGCTCCCCAAACCACGTAAGCCAACTCCTTAAAACAAATCTCTTAATAAAATAAACCTCTTAATGTATATCACCCATCGGTTCCATTTTTCTGGAGAACCCTGACTCCTACATCTTCACAACCTCGCCTACACTGGTCACTTCCTTAATAAATCTCCCCCATACCACCACTGCCCCCTCCTGATATTTTACAAATTTCAGTTTGGTAGTAAAGTAAGAATTAATAAGGAATTGCTGTTTGAGTCATCTTAGTCCAATCTCAGCCCCATATACAGTTAAAAATCATTCAGAATTTCAAGTCCCATTGGTCACGTTTCCACTGTCAGCAATGTGGAGAAGTGGGGCACTTATCTAGCCTGCGAGCGCCCCGGGACCAGGCCAGGCAGAGGCTTCTTTCCCACGCAGACCCAGGCGTCTGACCTGGGGGGACTGGTCAATATGTGCTGAACTGAGGAGAGCAGGGGAGCCTGGCAGCCCCCCGGGGCCCCATGACCCAGGCAGATCCAGCTCAACTGATTTCACCTGGTGACGCTCTTAATTCTGTGACACATTAAGGAATAGCTGTGTTAGAAGAGCGGTAATTATTTAGAACTGGAAATCAGGATGGAACTCATTAGCTAGAGTACAATTTATAAACGGACTGAAATGAAAAGGGGGCAGTAAAAGTGTCATTGCAAAAAATAGATGACACATTAAACCTTAATTAATTGCATGTCACTTAAAAAAGGGAACAAACTGCAAAATTAAAATCTTAATGAACACTGCTTGAAAGAGACATTTTTCAAATACTAATGGAAAACTCAAGGAGCAGCTGTCCAAAGCTGAGTGCACCTCTTCCTGTTCCTCTTGTACCTTTTCAAGATGATCTTGGAAAATACAAACATTCTAAAGAACAAAGGCCAGTCTAACTATAAAACAGCCCAAGAACATTATTCATGTTCTAAGTCAGGGATCCGTTTCCTTAAGAAATTACTATTAAGGGTAGTATGAATGGCCTTATTGTAGTGATTATATCATGAGAGACAAGTACTGATGCTTAACACTTTATATGTACAGGGTAGGGCAAAAGTAGGTTTACAGCTGTGAGTATGCAAAACACAGTTTATTCTTCTGTTATTATTTATTAACTATTATGTTATTTTTCCATACAAACAAATGTAACCATACTTCTGCCCCACCCCATATAGCTTTTAGAGAATATGGGAAACTTCCAAAACACGACTATCCATCTTCTTCCAGTGAGACGCTCAGCCTCCCCACCTCCTTCCCAACGCTGTTGCACCCAGGGCGCCAGCCGTGCAGACCAGAGTTGGACTCCGGCCACTGGATCCATTTGCTGCCGTGTTGAGTGCTAGGAGTTGTCTACACAAAATCCTCTATCTTATTCAAGGGAGCTACGTACTCAGTTCTAGACAATGCACCACGAACCATCTAACCCAGGGTTTCACAACCTCGGCACTATTGATTGCCATTTCTGGCCATATCACTTTGTTGTGTAGTTTGTCCTGTGCACTGCAGGACTTTTAACAGCATCCCTGGTCTCAACCCACTAGATGCCAGTAGCATTTCACCAGTTGTGAAAACCAAAAGTGTCCCAGGCCTTGCCAAATGCAATCCTGTTCCCCAAATTGGGGTATTTATCCCAATTTGAGCCCCAAAGAGAAGGCAGTTGCATCCTGCTGAAAGGGACAAATATGGCTGGGGCTGCTGCTTCCTGTCTGAGGCATGGATGTGCAGCCTGGAGCTGTGAAGACCATCTTGCAATCATCAGGTAACCAGTAAACAAGCTGGTGGGGGGGGGGCGCGGGGCACAAAGTAGAGAAGAGGAAGGAACCTGGGTCTGTGATGCCCCCTGGCCCAGGGCCAGCTGTGCATGGTGTCCGCCTACCTCAAAACTTCTAGCAAGGTCTGAAAAACATGCCTATCTTCCTTAAACCACTGTTAAGTCAGGATTGCTGTTCCTCACAGCAGAGAGCATTCTAAACCGGCCCTAAAGGAAAGCAAGCTGCCTTTCATCACTTATTCTCAGGCTGCTTTTCCCAGGGAGTCTTGGCCAGGTCCATGGAAAGAGCTGGAGACAAGCAGGGCGTGGGATACATTACTTCCTTCCTCGTCTCTCCACCAGCCCCCATTCGTGTTATCTATCCTTTAAAGCCCAATTGTGTCTCCCCTCTGCCCAGAAGCCTTCCCGGTCACATGGGACCTCTGTGGACCAGTCCCTGCAGGCCTCCTCCTATGCCACCTCTGGCCTGTTATCTTGGGCACTTGGGGTATAATCAGTATCACAGTTCAGGATGCAGGGTCACAGGAAAGCACCCCAGATGGGCATCAGGCCATCTACACTCCAGCCCACAGCACAGAGGGCAACTGCCACAGGTTTAATGTGCCCGGGGTCTCTGCTGCCCCAGGGATGAGCTGGACGATAAATACCCCGGCGACCCTGGTGCACCCCCACAAGGCATTCCTGAGGTGTCTTGTACTAGGTCTTTCTGAGGTTCTAAGGAGGGCTGGCTCCTGGCTGCCTGCAGGGGTCACAGCTCATCAGCACAGTTTCTTACCTTTCCTGCCATCCTGGCCTCACCTCCCTGCCCTCCACACCACTCCCCAAGGTCATCTTCCAGAAAAACTAAGTGCCCTCAAGTCTTTGCCTCAGGGTTTGCTTTCATGGGTACCCAAGCTAACACACTGCCCTAGATGATACAGAATGCCTAGTTTTTAACCCTTTTTCTGCTTAACAACTTGAAACTGTTCCAGCTGGGCAAATTCTTCATTCACAGGAAATTCACGTTTTCCTCATAAACAGAAAGAAACCTTTCAGTGGTATCACACCCTTTGGCTTTCTGGAAGCACACAGCCAGGGCTAGCTTAGAACAGAATGACCGCATGGTCAATACCATGAGTGTTCCCTCTTCCTCATTAAACAAGCCTCCCACACCTTCTGCTTTTTTCAATGGAACCACAAGTGACTTCGCATTTTTTTGTTTGCTTGGTTTTCTTCCAATAATCACACCACCCATTGGATGTAAAGCCAGCTCCCTTAAGCAAGGCCCGGACCTGCCAACCTCCTCCGAGTTCTGCCTGTCTTCAGAGATGATCATGTCCTCCACACGGCTTCCCAGGGCCACTTATTTAAATGGACCTGTCACTTTGGGGTATTAATATTCCATTGAATTAACAAGGTTCTACAGCGTTCCTTGTGATTCTCATCAGCAGATCTGACAGTATTCCTTGGGAAGCCAAAAACCAAAGAGCCAATAAATCAGCTTTTCAGAACCTGGTTATATTTTTATTAAAATCCAAAGTTCTGATAATTCTAACATTATTTTGTTCTGCCTGACAAGTTAAGATAAGAGCTGTTATGTGTCTGTAGGTTCTCAACTATTGGAAAAGGTGAACAATTGAGGGGAGCATCCAGTTCAACGATGCATCATTTCTATAATGAAATGGTTCTTAGTGAATATAATGAAATTGCAACTCAGAAATTCAAACTCAGGAGCAGAAGTACACTCATTTACAGCAGAATTTGTAATGAGAAGGAGATACACACTTTTACCCCAACCATTAATATGTAGCAACGAGAATGGATGCCTTCTGCTCCTGAAATAACCACAGGACGACCACCCTGTGTTACCTCTCAAGGTGCCTTTCACAGCTGTACATAAATGCCAACCTCAAAGAAGCACTTGGCCATTCACACCTTTAAAAGATTTAATTTTTCTTAATATTGATAAGACAAAAATACTTGTGCAAGTTTTTAAAATATCTTAACAACTATCCTTATTGCTGTCCACCAAACCCAGGGAAAACATTCAAGCACCCTCTTTTTTTCCCTTTTAAAATATACATACATGTCTGCTACAAAAGGAAAATGAAACTTGCTTTCCTGGGGAAAAGAACTATAAACTAACATAGTAGTAACAGTAGAAAATGAAAATATTCTAGAAGTTAGGCTCTACAACCAAAGCCTTTGGAGGCAGGGCAAAAGCTCCCTGAAAAAGGTGTCAGGATTTTATTTTAAGAAGGAATACAGGACAGGATGGAAAGAAGAAAGTATATAGAGGAAAAAAATTTTCTTTCCACAGTTTCCCTCTTTTCACATTTATACTAGTGACATCAGTGTTCACAATGGGGAACAACTAAACCCCCCAGGGGATTTTTGGCAAAGTCTGGAGGCAATTTTGGTTGTCAAACCTGGAGGATGCTACAGCCACTTGCCGCCAGAGGCCAGGGATGCTGCTGGGCATCCATCTACTCCCAAGACCACGAAGAATTACCTGGCCCCAAAAGTCAACAGTGCCAAGGTTGAGAAAGCCTAAGTTAATGCTTATTGCCCTCAATAAGAAAGTTTAAGTATCTCACCACAAGAATGTTTTTCAAAGAGAAGAATAGATCATATTTTTTCATTCACTTAACAGATAATTATTGAACACAGAAATTCACCAAAAACAATAACAATAATAGTAATAGCCAAAGCTGACTGAAGGCTTCCTTCACTCCAGGCACAAGTCCAAGGCCTTTCCACATGTGAACTCATTCAACCCCCGTCACGACTTCCTACAGTAGCTCCTGTCATTTGCCCCATTTTATAGAAGGGGAAACTGAGGCTCAGGACATACAGTTCAGGGATGAACACAGTCAAGGTCTGTACTCAGATGGAGTCTAGACTCTGATGGCTCAGGGCTCACGGAGGAGGAAACGGGAAAAGGAGAGCGCGTGAAACCAATGCCCACTTTGTTATCCAAACAGCTGAATGAGGCAGAAAACAACACTTAGCAAGGAACACACTGCCTGTAAGCAGGCCCATCTCTCAAGAGACCAAAAGGTGTTTTTGGAGTTTCACATCTGTGAACATGTAGCCAGTGCCTGAAACCTCCACTAGACCCGGAGGAAGATAGAAAAGCAGCAGAACCTGGGCATTTTCCAAGCGATTGGAAGGCGACTGACCTACAGACAAAAGGGTTTGCAATTCACATTAATTCATTGGGAAAAATGCACAGGTGTGACTAACACCCTACATTTTTGGTTGAAAAATTGAATTGCTAAAGATCTACACTCAGTTGTAACTAGATCCAGACTAAAAGCAGATGACACTTCCCCCAAACACAGAAGCAGCACACTAACCACTGTTTCGTCAGGGGTAGCCTCTCTCCCTGATACAGACAGACAGGGCCCAAACTGTTGAAACTGATGTCTCACTTTGGAAACTGTCGGTGAGTCAAAAGCAGTCAATGGGATTAGTTTTAAGTATGATCTTTTTTTATTGCCAAGAAAGTTTTCATCTTCAAAGCTTCTGTCTTCATTTACTGAATTTATTTTCCATACAACATTCTCTGAAACACTCAGGTTAAAGCAGGAGGAAAAAAACATCTAAAGCAAGTTGTGAATCTTACAACCCCGCTCATCACACGGGAAACAACAGGCAGGTTCAGAGTGGAGGACACTGGCCAGTGGCCGGTGTGGAGACAGTCAAGTCATGGACAAGGAGGTCATACTGGGAAGCTGTCAGGGACCCCAGGAGGCTAGGGACATGACAACTAAATGTGGGAGCCTGGATGGGACCCTGGAACAGAAAGGGGCCATTAATGGAAGAATTGGTAAAATGTGATGAAGTCTAGAGTTTAGTAAATAATAATGAACCCATATCAGCCTCTCAGTAAGGTGTTAACATGGGGAGAGAGGGCAGGGCCCATGTGGGAACTCTCTGTCCTATCTCTGTCACTTTTCCATATATCTGAAATGATTCCAAACTAAATGTTGTCTAGACAGCCCTACTAGCCTAGGTTGATGGCTGCAAGAACTCTGTTGCTGTCCTTGGGATAGTAAGGTGGGAGGGCAAATGCCCCCTCTCCAGGAACTCATAGCACCAAGTGGAATTGGGGGAACCCCGGACCAAGAAGAACACAAAACAAGTTAAAATAGCGAAATTAAATAAAGTTGACAGCAGCATCTCACATGATTGAGATGTTAGAGGCTCACCTGTGCTGGACCCTGGTGTCTACTTTATAAACACTTTCCCATTTAATTCTCAGAATAACCCAATGAGGTTGTGCTAACGATGATCGAGATTCCACTTTAGAGTCAGGGAAAGATTTAGTAATTAGTCACATGGAATTAAGCTTAGTAGTTCATTAAATCTGCGTAGCTCTTAAGAGATTACAAAGTATTGTCCTATTTCATCCTCAGGGGGTGAGAAAGAAGTCACCATTCCCATTTCAAAGATGGACACAGGGAGGCTTGGGGAAGGAAGTGCTTCCTCCAAGATGACAATGTCATAAACAGCAATGGGTTGATCCAAAGCTACAGACTGAGACCTTTGCATTCTGTGGCACATCATAGAAAAGGAGGCTGCCACACACCACATCCCATGTGGCTCCAACCTCTAGGAAGCAGGGAGCTAGGATGGCAACTGGGCCGACCCCACCATCCCTGTGCCCACCTTCAACAGGACAGACTTGCCGCTCACAGCCAAGGCGAGAATGCTCATTTCTGAAGAAGAACATGGGCAGGAGACGCTGAGGGGTGAGGGCAGAGCTCATCAGGGAGTGAGGAGGGGTGTCCTAGAGGGGTGACTGTGCCGTGACCTTTCACCTGACCCTGAAGGTGGCTGCCTTTGTTCTGTCCATTTCACCACGAATGATGACAACCATATACCTCAAAGAAACTGTTCTTCGTTGTTCCCACTGGTCTTCGTTTCCACAGGACTGATTCAGCCCCTCAACATACTCCTTAAGGAAGTAAAATCCCTATTTCCCGAGTGCCCAGGACTGCGCAGGACAGGGGAGACGTACCTGCTAGCATCAGGGCTCGGATGCACTCCATTCGGCCCTGCATGGCAGCTTTCATCAGGGCCGTGAACCCAAACACATTCCTCCTTTCAAGGTCCAGACCAGGGAAGTAGTTCAACAAGTAGTTGGTGATGGTGGCGTGCCCTGCAAAGAGATACGCACATGTGAACAGACCACACTCCACAAAGAGTGCTCTTTCCAGGGAGGCCTTCCTAGAGAGAGAGGGGGAAACGTGGCAGCGTTGACCGCCCCCCCGCGGCCAGGCCATCTGCGCGAGGTGAGTTTGCCTCGGAGGCTGTGAGAAAGAACCCTCATGGAGTCCAGGAAGCGGGACGACACTGGGTGCCACCCTGGCCACAGCGGTGCCAGGTGCTGTCTCTGCGGGCTCGTTCTTGTTCCTTTTGCCCACCCACTTGGGAGCTCAGCTGTCCTGTCACACTGTTAAGGAGAGGACGTGAGCAGCTAGGATGCTGCGGCGTGGCGTGACGAAGTGCTGAGCCAGCCTCAGCAGACACTGCTGGCCAGGGGAAGGTCCTGGATGCTGTCAGCTCCCAGCAGGAGACACCAGTGCACAGATGCAAAACCGAAAACAAGGCTCCAGGCCATTTCCCAGGGCTCCCGGGCTGCAGGCAGGAGAAAGTCAACGTCGCAGCAAGAGGATATGCCAGTGCACACTGCCACCCTCTGTTACTGCTCAAAAGTGTCTGCCTCTGTCTCTTGTGCATGCACACGCACAAGAGCACACACAGAGGGACAGACAGAAACACATATACACACATATACATGCAGGAAACACAGGCCGTGTTGCTACCAAGATCCTGAGCCAGAAACCCCAGCAGGTAAGAATACTGATTTGAGAATATAGATGTCTCCCCTTTGTCGTCTTGGACTTCCAGAAGAGACCCGGTTTTCTGCTGTTCTTAACCTCCTTAGTCGGAGTGAAAAAGGAGAGCCTCATACGAAAAGCAGTGTTCGCGGGGCTCTCCAGGCTCCGCCCCCCGCCGCCCCCCCCCCCGGAGAAAACCCAAATGGAGTGGGACCGTTCCTCAAGCAGACCGACCTGGGCCATGAAGGCAGGTTTGGGTGTCAAATGTCCATGCAGCCTAATGCCCACTAACCAGACTTCTTAAGTCAGTGTGTGAAATGACATGGCACCCTCCCCCACTTCAGCGCCCTAGGGCAGAGTCCCAGCCTTGGCGTTAGCGACCCTTGGGGAGAAATTATCCTCAGGGGTAGGGCTGTCAGTGCACTGTATACCCCTTGTCTCTTCCACCCATGAGATGCTGGTGGCAACCACACCACAACCACACCCCCCAGGTCGTTACAGCCAAAAACGTTTCCAGTCATGGCCAAATGCCCCTGCAGGAGCAAAATTACCCATTGAGAAGCACCATCCTAGAGGCTCAGGCTGCATTGTTTCAGGACCGATCGCGCCGAGGTGGAAGGCAGCTCCCTCTGCTCCTCACCTGCACCCTTCACCCCGCCCCCCACCCCCGGCCCCCCTCAGCTGCCATCTCCCTCCTGGCCCCACTGGTGATGGCTACCGTGCTCTGTGAAGTAAGAGCGGACTGCAGAAGCCTCTCCTGGGCCCAGGGGGCCATGCAGGTGCCCAGTCTGCTTCCGGATACTCTGAAGATCCAGCTCTCTGAACTGCCCCCCGCATGCATGTGCCTTTGGAGCTGTCACTGTCAGATTGCAGGCATGGGGCTTCATGGGCATTTCAGTGCACTCTCTGTCCTTAACAGGGCACACCCCTGCCCCCCAAGGAAGCCTTTGCACCATGGCGAAGCCAGGACCCAGGAAGTTCCTTCCCAGCTGCTTCAGGGAAGGACACGGGGTGAGATTTGGGATGCAGCAGGAGGGAAGGCCTCCTCCTGGGGATGGGCAGCCAGGGCACACAGGGGCTCCCCTCAAGGCTCACCCAACTGCGCTGAGGGCTGAGTGAGCGGAGGCCCGTGGCCAGTGCCACCCAACATGACCCCCGCCCAGGGCCGCACGCAGGGGCTGCACTCCCACGCCACCCCCTGCCCAGCCTCACGCAGAGGCTGGGCCCTGGTTTCCTTCCTCGAGGGCTGCTGCCCAAGCAGTATCAAATGCTTTTCAACTTCCAAGTTAAAAACTAGCAAGCAACAAACACCCAAGTGCAGACTCTTCTAGAAGCATGGCTGTCTGCTTATCGATGCCCTCGGCCCATTTTCTGAACTCACTGCAAAAATGAGAATGTGAAACATAGCTTTTCTGGGAGAAAAACACTAATACAACTGTGTCGTGGGTTAGCAAGCCAGAGACAGATGGGTGCCACCCTCCAGCTCTGTGACTCACAGGTCCCCACCAGCAACTGATGCTTTTTGACTCATTTCAGCCACTCGGCCATCCGCTGTCAGTTACAGAACCAGGGAAGGGGTAATGCTGGCAGTCAGGTGCCCAAAGCAGCTTAATTGCTCTAAACTGGTGGGGAGGGGAGAGGTCCTTTGGTCTCAGGTTTGTCATCCAGTTACACGCTCTGTGGCACCTGTCAGTTAGATTTAGCCAGGGTCGTAGTGAAACGAATTGCAATTCGTTTAGAGCCATTTCTTTAAAGATATGAAAGGGCATATCTGTCGCAATTTTCAGCACGATGTCCTTTGCACTGATATATTCTAAACACTTTGAACAGGCAGGGAGAGGAAAAATTGAAAATCTACAAAGCAAACAGCCCATTATACAGGTCTGTTCTGCATATTATGTTGAGCTCAGAAAACCAACACATGGCCAACGCATTCTGACCACAGGCGTGAACTTTGAACAACCCATGAAATCATCCCTGGCTCCCCACAGACTGTCCCAGAACAGCAGAATAATACGTCCTATCACACAAATGACCTCATTCAATGAAATCAGGGTGGACCCACTGTTTCCAAGAATGTGTAGATATTATTAACCGTTCTTCTTAAAAACCATGACAATTAATCAAAGGGAGCTTTTCTTTTCTTTAGTAAGAAAGAAGAATAGACAGACAGCTAGAATACAGCCTTCCTTGCATAACAAAATCCAACCATACACCATATCGATATCTAGTCTAAACCTAGCCCAGCTTAGGCCTAACAGGACAGAATTTCCTAAAGGCCTCAGAGGAAGTCCTTTTAAAAGGTGGCCTCACCATACAGACCCCAAGAATACCTTGTCCCCAGTAATCCTTACCCTGCCAAAGAGAAAGACACAAATGACCCAAGAAATAAGTTCATGTGAAATAGCTTCAGTGGGTGCGTAAACAGCAGTGTAGACAGAGAGAGTTGGCTGAGAACACCCAAGTTCAAGTCTCTAACCTGCCACTTAAAATCTGGGTGGCCCTGGGGAGGTGAGTCAACTTCACCAAATTCATGTTTCTGCATCTGGAAAATGGGAGATAACATCAACCTCACAACTGTGAAAATTACAAGAGGCAATGTGTTGTACAAACAGTGCTTGATATAATAGACAAATTTCTGGGCAGAACAACTCCCAGTAATTGATGCAGGTACTCCATTCTCAAGGAGGTGGAACACAACAACGCACTCCTTAACTTGTGGATTCCCTCCAGAGAGTGGAAAAGGGGGAAGGGGAGATAACTTGACAATAGAAACCTGGAAGGCACAACCTCAGCCAGGTGATCAGGGGCAACACCAACTGTGACAAGTCACACTGCTAACATATACTGACAAACAGTCTTTGACCAAACTTTAGTCAGGTTCCTGAACCTTTTCCGAGGCCCATCTATGCATCTCCTTGTAATATCTGTTGATAGTTTTAGCAAAAATCTCCCTTCTTTGATATCTGATCAAACTCCTCTTCCCCCACCATCTGCAGGCAATGACTGATCACTGTATCCTGTCTTAAGCAATAATCTCTATTGGGTTGGTTTAACTAGAATCTCTCATACCCCTGATGTTTCCTCTTCATTTTTCATCCACTGACTTTCACCTTGCTTCCCTGGCTGTAAGTTCCCACTTTTCTTTGTTATATTTGAATTTGAATCCAATCTCTCTTTTCCCATTGCAAAATCCCAGTGCAGTTGCCCCCTACACCTATTAAGATGATCCTGAATAGAGTTTGCCGTACCATCTGTAACAAGTGGCATTTAGTATTTTTGTCTTGAGCAGCACCCTCGATACGATGTGGTGAGAACGGCACTTCCCTCTGTGTCCCTCCTCCCCAAAACCCATAACTCCAGCCTAATCCTGAGAAAAACACCAGACAAATCCCAACTGAGAGACATTCTACAAACTACCTGACAAGTACTCCCCAAACTGTCAAAGTCATAAAGTCTGAGAAACTTCATGGCCAAGAGAAACCTAAGGGGACATGATGATTAAATGTAACATGTAATCCTACATGGCATCCTGAAACAAAACAAAAATTAGGAAAAAACTGAGGAAGTTGGAATGCAGACTGAACTTGAGTTAATAATAAAAATGCATCAATATTGATTCATTCATGGTGTCAAATGTACCATACTAATTAATATCAGATCCTTATAACAGGGGAAACCAGGTATAGGGTATATGAGAATTTTCTGTATAATTTTTGTAGTTTTTCTGTAAGTCTAAACTACTCTAAAATCAAAGTTTATTTTATAAAAGGGAGATCCTAGCATAAGGCTACTCGACAAGAATACGAGGTAGGGATGATGACTCTTGGCCAGCTACCAGGTGTGGCTCCCCTCCACACTGTCCCCAAGCCTTGCTGATGATGGGGGGAGCTCACCAGGAGGCTGTGATGAACATGCAATGGAAAAAGACATGCAAATGGTCCCCAGGAGGGCAGGAGGACTGAGAGAAGTGGCTGACTCAGAACACTCCTGCAGGAGTGAATGGACAGACCTTGGTAATTGTTTCACCGAGCCACACAACAGAAAGAGAAAAGCCAAGGATGACCCCTGGCCCACCACAGCTGTGGTCCCTGGCTCCACTTTGGATGGTGAATGGCGTCCTTGCTGAGAGAGTTTGGGGTAGAAACCCATGGTACCCAAGCTTGCCTGGATTCTCAAACAGGCCCAACCACTGCACTGGGTTTTCCCTTGACTTTCCCCCAGCGCCCATGTGGGAAATTTTAAACTTTCCCACTCTTAAGCCAACAACCTCAGAGCAAACCCCCTTCACAGGAGGTACACACCTCTTACTTCAAAG